TACACACAGGGGGAACATGGACAGACAGACAGTTTTGTAGAGCCTGGGAGCTACATGGATTCTTTTGTACACGTTTATGTGGAGCGAACAAGCTGAAAACATTAAGACATGTCTTTCTCTAGGGTTACAGGTTTCTTTCAGTCTTTGTTGTTTGTCTTTTTCCCCCCTGTGGTCAAAATGTCAGCAGGTTGTGGCTGAGGATTCTTAGAACACAGGGGAAGCTCCAAGTGGAGGTATCCACGACATGGAGGGAAGGCAGTCACTTCTGGTATGTCAGAGGTGAGTGGAGCCTTGATCTATGCTTAGCTCAAAAAGCAGGAAAAGAAAAAGGCCAAGATGCAGCCTTTATACTTTCCATATGTAGCACTATTTCCAAGACCCAGGTTATTTATAGTTTGCAGTAATAACTTTTCTCCTTGATTGGTAAGATGTTCAGAAACATGGCTCACTTCCACGTGGGGTTCCTCCCACTATCAGACGAGCCATGATACTGCTATTTTAGTTTTCCTAACTATTTACATTTAAAGTTTACAAGTTAAATATTTCCCAAACAGAAAAAAAAAAACAACCTATTTAAGCTTATGACTGTCCTTCCAATTAGCATGCTGTTTGCTGGTGGTGAGTGAGTTTGTTTACGAGATGGGATCGCTATGTACCTCCGGCTGTCCTTGAACTTGTGCCTTTTCTGTCTCCACTGTCCAGTGTTAGGATTTTAGGTGAAGGTGGTGACACCTCACCTACGTGCTAGTTTAATCCAGCAAATTAGTTCTAACAACTTTAGCTGTCTCGGTGCTTCATACAGAGAATGTGTGTCTGTGCCCATCCATGTACTTGCTTATACTTTGGTTTAACAACCCACTTGGTTTCTTGGGTCTTTCCCTTCAAAATTTTCCTCAGAAATTGGTTGGCAGTAAAATTTCTTAGTTTTTGTTATGGAAATTTCTTTAATTCACTTCCTTTATTGATAGTTTTCCAGATTCACAGCCTTTTGCTTACTCAACTGAAGCGATGGAGGGTCTCTCGACTCTTCTATTGTTCTAAGAAGACTGTTGTAAGTGGTAAGTCTGTGTACATCTATTTTCTAGCACCTAAGGGCCGCTAGCTTCTTAAGATGTACTTATTTAGGGCTGGAGAGATGGCTCAGGGGCCAAGAGCATTTGCTGCCCTTCAGGGGACCCGAGTTCAATTCCCAGCACCCACATGTTGGCTCACAACCACTTGTGTCTCTAGTTCCAGGGGACCAGATGCCCTCTCCTGGCCTATGAGAGCACTGCACACTTGTGGAACACAGACATGGGAAGCAAAATATGAAAGTAAATACATTTTTTCAATAAGTAAGGAACATAAGTAGCTATTTACAATTTCCTTTTTTTAAAAAATTTGTTTTGTATGAGATTTGTTGGGTTTTCTGGCTCCTAGGTTTAGCATTGTTCAAGAATTCTGTAATTCCCCCTTCCCCACCTTCTATGTTATCTCCTTTTGGAAACATACAGAGCATCTGAGGTGACCTTTCTAGTTATGTAGTGTTTCACTGTTTCTTTTCTCCTTGTATTTCGAGCTGTAGGAGAGGTTACCTATTTAGTCCAGTTTTCTATCTCAGCTGTGTTCTCTTCAACTGTCTTTATCCTGGTCACTGATACTTTCTATTTTATATATTTTTAATATCTAGAAGTTTCATTTATATGTTTTAAATACGTATTTTTAATTGCATGTTATCAGTGCTTTGCCTGCATGTATGTATGCACACCTTGCATGTGCTTGGTGCCTGTGGAGGCCAGAAGAGGATGTTGGACTCCTTGGAGCTGGAGCCAGTTGTGAGCTGCCATGTGGGTGCTGGGAACTGAACCTGGGTCCTCTGCAAGAGCAGCAAGTTCTCTTACCACTGAGCCACCTCCCCAGCTCCCCTTTACTTATTTTTAAAATCTGCATAGTCTCTTCTCCTTAATAATATTTTCTTTCCTTTTAGATCTTGGTTTGTGGACAGAGGGTTTCTCTATGTCATCCTGGTTGAACTGGAACTCATTCTGCAGACCAGGAAGGCCTCCAATTCAGATATTCACCTGTCTTAATCTCCAGAGTGCTGGGATTCAGAACACATGCCACCACCCCTAGCTCATCCTTGAGCATGTTTTTGGAGCTCTTAAAACTGATGCAAGCTAAGATATTTATTTATATTTTCTGCTAACCAGCTCAGTAAGGGAATATTTTCAGCTCTACTGCCTGTTGTGCTACTGGCTTTTCCTCACGATGAATCATTTCTTGCTGTTATAGCTGAGGCTGCCTTTCTTCTAGAGGTGTTTTCTTCTAGGGTTTTGAGTCTTCAGGGCTGCTGGGGTATTTACCCTAGCGCAATACCTCAAAGGAAAACTCCACTGTAATCGCCCTCTCCTGTCTCTGAACTTCTTAAAAGAAAACATTCCTAACGAATGACCAATACACGAAAGGACCCTGTCATCATTCTCACCAGCAGGATCAAAACCCAATCAACGTGCAGGAAGAACACGAGAAAGGAGGCAGGTGTGGTGGCTCACACTGCAAGCACTACAGAGGAAGGGGCAGGGAGCTCCTTCCAAGTGTGAGGCTACCTTGGTCCATTATAGGATGAGTTCTAGGCATGCCAGCATTACATACTGGAACCTGTCTCAACCCCTCTTACTCCTCACAAAGGAAAAAAGTAAAAAAGAAATGTTGCTCTTTTTTTTTTTAAATTTTAAATAGGGTTTCATGTAGCCTAGGTTGGCTTCAAACCCTTTACTTAGCTGATGACCCTGAACTTCTTCCATACCCTAAGTGCTAGAACTACAGGCATGTGCCACCAAGCCGTTTATGAGGTGCTATCGACTGCACCCATGTCTCATGCATGAATGGTAAGCAAGCATTCTACCAACTGAGCCCGTCCTCAGTCCCCTGGAAAACTTTTCAATAAACTGAATTCTTTGCCATCTGTATTCGAGGTCAGCTCAAGGCGGGTTTTCTGTCACGGGAGAACCTCTATGAGACAGGCAGCCCCCTGCATTTGGTCCTGAGCCTTTCTTGCATGAGTCCCGGTGAGACCACACAAGTGCTTACAACGTGCCCACCTGTGAGGGTCATCCGGGTCACAGTTGGGAAGAAACTGAGTGACTGCTTCCGCTACTTCTTCATTGGATAAGACATCCCAGAGTCCGTCCGTAGCCAAGATCAACACGTCGTCTGCTCCGTGCTCATATCTGGAGAGATCGTAGACTCTAACCTGCAAAGAACGGGGAAACTGCAAGGTGAGAAGTGCTGAGAGGGGGTGCGTGGGTGATGCTTTGCTCTTGTTTTTGTTTCTAACCAAGCAGCTTCTGATTCCAGGCTTTTTTTTCTGTCTGACCCTACTAATTTTCATAGATACACTACAAGGTCCTTGATCCATTAGCGAGCCTTGTGGAGTGGACAGCCTCTTTCTGAAACTTGTTCTCAGACACTTAGGCCTAGTCACAACTGAGAATGCGGCCCCGAAGGGCTTACTAATTAACAAGAAAGATACGAGTAGAAAAGGTAATACTTGAGATACCGCTGAAGAGATGACTTACACGTGGACCCCATGTGAGCCATGATGAGCTAGCCTGGTTGGCTTCTTCTGCATATATTAAGAGCCATCCTTTCCCAATTGCTATGAATATAAAGTGAAAAAAAATAGATTCTTCCATTTTAAGAAATAGTCTGTAAGGGAGATGAAGTCCGTTTGGGGTTATAAGAAATGACTCCAAATGTATTTATTAACGACTAAGGAGACAGACTTTGTTTAAGGTGTATCTTATTTGAAATCATTCTTGCCTATTTCTTCTAAGGCACAAAGGGCCACAACACCCCCTCCCTCTGAGTAAGGATGAGGTTATGGTATTACACTTGGGATTGACAATTTAGAAAAGGCGGAAGCTCAAGTTGCATGTCCAAAGCATGCTGCTGGACAAGTTTCCTACCTTCTCTGATCTCATATCTTGAATGCTAGTGGTATTTCAACACTGGCCTAAGAAACTCTTTACAGAGGACAGAACATCCTTGGGAAACTAGAAAGAATTCAGAACTGAGTCTCATCAGGGTGAGACGGACAGTACAACTCTATGCTAACCCTACTTGGACAGGGTTGGTGGGGGCAGGGAGGAGCACAGAGGAGTTTGGGGGTTTCATAGTCATTTCTTCCTGATTCTGCAGAGCCTCCCTGCTTACAGTACTTCATGGGCTGAGGACAAACATCAATTTAATGATTCACCAATTTCCTCTCTCTCAATTCCTTTATCCTATGTGCTTGGAGAAAGCAATGGGGTAGGGGTGGGAAGAGAAAAAGAGAATGTGGCATAGGCTGTTGCTCTTGTGTGCCTTCACACTGGTGGCATCTGGCCATCTCAGGTATAGGTAATGGGATTCTAAGAGGTCGACCAGATGGTTCAAAACCGGCCTTTGTTCTAGAATGGTTTGTCTAGGCCAGTGACATCCTTTAGGCACTGGTCCTGTGGGTTAGCAGACAGCCTGGTGGGAATGCCTGAAACTAAAAGAATGCTTGACCCTGGAAAAGGAGCTCAAATGAAAAGCAGCCACAGGTCCGGGCCTCTGTGGCCTGTGGATTAGATAGAAACAATTAGCTGACGGCCCGGCACCTGATGCCATCCCCAGGGACCCCTCGGCAGCATACTCTACCAGCTTTTAAATTCCTTTTTCCTCAAATGCATGCTCACTTAGGGCTGAGCATTGAGCTTTCTCCAAGTGGGGTTGGGGGTCCATGAGGCACAGAACTTGAATTTTCAGATATCCTTCCTCAAGGTACTCATGGCTTATTTTCCCTCGATGGGAGGTAACCAACCCCTCTTTGCTCTATTTTCTGTGGTTGCTGGGAGTTGGAGCCATGTTTCCTCAAATGTTAGTGTGTAAGCCAGTCAGTCAGGGAGCCTGAGCGCTCGCAGATGCTTCTTAAGGAGGGCATGAGAACCCACAGTTCTCCAGGTGATGTCAGACATACAAATTCTGGGACCACACTTTGAGTAGCAAGGTCACAGGAGTCCTACAGGGCCTGGAAATCAAGGACTCTATAGACTCTGTGATGCCAGACACAATTAGTGTCCTAAGACAATGGAAAGGACAATAAATGTCACCCCTGGGCTCCCAACTCCAAGTCCTACCTCATATGCTAAGGCCATGATGTCTTAAATGGGAGCTGGCTAGCTTCCCACTGGGGCTACCCTACAATAAGCTACCGGGCTCATCTGAGCTCTGCTGGACAGGAAATGTTAAGTAACGAGGGAGGTAGAGAATGCCAGGTGGCTCAGTCTTACATCTGTACTTGAGAGGAGTTTCCATTTACGGCTCACTCCTTCCTGAAACAGATGTTTAAAGGTGTGAAGATAATACTGTGTTCAGGATCTGCCCTGTGAGCGGGGCGCCCAAATGACTTCAAAATGCTTTTTTGCTGGCCCAAGAAGTGGCAGGTTGATTCCTTCCGTCTGAAATGAGCCCCGGTCATCAAAGGGAAACCTGGCCGATGGAACCACGTGGGTTCATACCAACCCCATCAGTGATTGGAATCCTCACCAAGTCTATTCGCCTTTCCACTCAGCTCACTGAGGCGGTTCCATGAACCAGCATGAAATTCCCTTTCAATGCCATTTTCCACACAACCTTTATGTAAGTAATACAAAGCCAGTGGCCACCCCAGCCCCCAGGCACTCCGCAATTAACGGCCTTTTAGGTTTTTTTTTTTACAGCTATCCTCTGTTTCCTGCCCTTCAGCCAATTTCCACAGGACTTTGCCAACTTTCCACTTACGCTCATGTCTTGTACATTAGCCTACGAGGCAGAGCGCTCTGTGAAAGTGCTTTTAGAGAAATTGTCTGGTGTGCAAGCCATCCCATTCCACGCTGAGGCTCTCCCTAAGGCTGCTGGGGGCCTTCCTCAATCAGAAACCCTCCCCTCCCCAAAGTTTTTCTGTTCACTTCCTGAAACAGTCTTTCAAGTTCCTGGGAGCCTCACGCGGTTCTGGTGGGCTCTGCGGCTCCACAGAACGGAGGCATCTGGAAGAGCGTTGCTGCAGGGCCCTAAGGGGGAGCTGCAAAGTGCATAAGGCAGTGAACACCTGGGGGGGGGGGGAAGAGGCTAGAAAGCGTGGCTGAACGCTGCCTGCCCTTGTCCAATCTGTAAAGAAAGGAAGGGAGGGGCAGCTAGAAGCCTTGGGAGTCTTACATGAAGTTAGAGTAATACACAGATGTTCTTTGACTTGAGAAAGGGCTTGTACCCTGATGAACCCATTACTAAACTGAAGATATGGTCAGCTGAAGATGCATTCAGTAAACATAGCCTATGAAACATCACCGGTGAGCAATTGTCGTCTACTGTGTGTGTCTGCCCAGGCACTGTGTCCCCGTGCCACTGCCTAGCACTGCCGGAGGATAGTATTACACATTACACTTCATCCTGCTAGCCGGGTGAAAGGTCAAAATTCCAAATAGGGTCGAATACCAGCATTGAAGAAAAGTGATACCAAATCAAATCAACCAAGCCCAGGAACATCTGCTGGAGGGATTATTACTAGCCATCGCCGGCTACCAGAACTTCTGGGCATTGGCTGCCACTGGGCAGAACTGATGGACTTCTCTGCCTTGATGACTTACGTCATCATCTAACTGCAGACCCACTGATAAGATGCTAGCTTCATAGGCGTAGCTTGCTGACGCTGACAGGCCCAAATAGTTACCAGAATGCAATCGGCTATTTATGCAGAAGCAGGAGGCTTGCATGCCCCTCTCCTAGACTCAAGAAGCACATTCAGGGCATGGTAAGGGGAATGAGCTGGAGGAGAACCGGAGTCCTGGCTAATATACCCCGGATGAAGCAAGTGCTGACAGCTCACAGGGCTTCAGATTTCCAGCATTTCGAGACGGTAACACCATCAGTGACACCCACTTGACTCAGGGGCTTGTGACTCTTTAATACAGTTCCTCCATTGAGTGCTCGGCTGCAGACCGCTGTTTCAGCATGTGTGTGCTACGTGCCCTCTTTGTCCTATTACTGATATTTTGGGGGCCTGCTAAGAGAGCGCGATACTGCAAGCTGACATAGGTGTCCTGAACTGATTTAAGAGAAGAACCCATCAGTTTTCCCACTTGTTCAAGCTCCACTGCTTTTCCCTCTCTGGGATACCTTTATAGCTTTTGTGCTAGGATCAAAGGTGTGAGTCACCATGCCCTGGCAAACCTTCACAGCTTTTATGTCTTTATTATCTCGGCAAATTTGTCATGCCTTTTTCTCCTGTGGGTTCCACAGTGTGGAAATGGATAAGCTCCTGCGGCCCTGTGTGGCTTGAAGAGGGCAGGAGGCTCCAGCTACAGTGTCCCACGAGTCTTTGGGACTTTGAGATGGGGCTCCTGTAGCCCAGGCTGGCCTTGAACTCACGGTGTAGCTGAAGATGACGCTGAGCTACTGATATTCCCGCCTCAACCTCATGATCACAGGTATGCACCACCACGCCTGGTTTTGCACAGCACTACCATAATGAGGACTGAACCAGTGTGCAAGCCGGGCCAGTACTGCCCCAAGTGAGCTAAACAGCCCTGAGATCATTTCTTTTTTAAACTGAAAAACAATCAAGGAAAATGAAATTATGTTTGCTCTGCTCTTTTCACAAAGCTGTTATGAAGGTCACGGGGTGGGGGTGGGGACTGAGTAGATGACTGCCTTCATGGCTCTGGTCTCAAAGTGGCAACACCAAGGATAGGCTGCTGGGTGGGAACAAAGGGAAGAGAGTGTGCTCTGGGAACCTTGGGGTTCAATTCTAAAAGTCTCATTTACAATAATAGTGATTAGAACTCCCAGTAGCGCCATTGCCAGGAGAGCCAGAGATAGTTCACAAGATAAAGACCACCAAGGGGCAGTGGGAAATAAAAGTCTCATCCTAGCCAATCCAAAACCCGAGCTAATACGGTGCTTGTACGAGAAACAAGCCAGCTTTTTTTCTCATAATCCTGTGAATCAAATAGATTCTCTAAGACTGACAGTCACGCTACCAGGACGGCATCCAAACTCTCCACTCCTCAACGAACTCAACGAACACTACACGTCGTGAAGCCAATGTGGTGACTGAACGGGTTTCAGACCTGCTTCTCCCTCAGCCAAAACAACTTTACTCTTTTACAAGTCTAAGAAATAGTGCTAGGAATCCTGGATGTGGGGATACTGAATCCCCAGACTGAGGGAGGAGACGTTGGACACTGACGGTCA